CTTATCTACATTTCATCCTAGCGGTATACAAAGTTAAGGCAAAGTTCAATAGCCATTAAAAACTAAACCTTTGTTCTCCTCGCCTAATTTACAAATTGTTGACACTGTCAATAATGAGAATGCCCTCTCCTTTAACAAAAACTTGACGAAATGCTGACAATGAAAGACTCCCCTGGTAGCTTGACAATTGGACATGCATGGTGTAATTCTGGAGATAGCAGATGTGCACGTTAGATGCGGGCTGGGGTTCCCGCCAAGTAGCTATCTACAACGCTTATGTCATTGTTTTCTTCCGTCAATAATTGATCAGTTTGTGTACACGGCCCTCTAAGCTCATGTCTTCTCCATTCTAGAGCAATCGATCTTCCAATTCTCTGGTGGGAATCCTTGGTTGGCCAGATGCTCCCTTAATGACAGTCAAGCCAAAAGAGCATAACTGTAAAGGGATATGATCAATAGAATTCAAAAAGAACAATAGAGCTGGGAAGGGCAGGTAAGAAAATGATATTACCATTTTCACTTTGGCTAATAAGGTCATCATTAACATTAAAATATTAATCATCATCAAACCAGTGTAGATTTGATGACAATTAGATGAGGTCTGCTGTTGATTACCTGGCGCATTACGGATTCATCTGGTGGTGAGTGAAGTTGTGATGCATAGACAATGATGAGGTTAGCGGCCATCTGTAATCAACGATGTCGCTCTTACAAAATTGCAAATTATGTAGTTTCTGTTCTGCTTTATTTCTCTCAGCCCAATGAACAGTTGTGGAAATCAACAGAAACAAAATGAATAGTGTTAACTCTCTGATAACGCGAAACAATTTGTAAGACCTTACTAATGGAATCAGTGACTTCAACAACAGATCGGCTTCCAAAATGGCATTTATTATGTAGCAATGTCTGTTACTCCTGAACTCTTTTAGTTTAGGTTAGGTGGTAACAGAATGCTATATTTTCTAGCTTTTGTTCCTCGGAGCAACATATTTGTAAACCTTTCATTATCAGTCAGCAGGTACTTCACACAACGACACCCTCGTCACTACAAGCCTGAAAGTCTCTCTTTCTATAACCAGTTCTCACCCCCATGTGCTTTCATTGCTAATGTATCTTCAATGTCTTGTATCCACATTTAAGGACATCGACCTCTGCCTCGTTTGCAGGAAACTGCACCTTCCATCCCCTTCTCTCCAAGCCACCATGATGTTTGACATGGCCAAAAAAGCTTTCGGAAGAGGATGCTGCTTATGAGCCGATTCTTCTCAAGATTCAAATCATCTAGTATGTCGGTGTTTCTCTTCCACTTGGATGACAGTATTATAATAATTGTTCTGTAACATTTTAGTTCAAAGGTCCCAATTTTTTACTTTAATGATTGAGCAAGAGGCCATGACTCACATCCATAATTTGTCATTGGAAAGATGCAAGATCTCAAAATTATTACTTGAACACGCTTGCAGGTGCTGTACCAAGGGTTCTTCGTGCTGTTTGGTTGTTTGTTTCCTTCTTCTTCTTCTTCTTCTTCTTCTTCTTCTTCTTCTTCTTCTTCTTCTTCTTCTTCTTCTTCTTCTTCTTCTTCTTCTTCTTCTTCTTCTTCTTCTTCTTCTTCTTCTTCTTTCTCTTCTTCTTCTCCTCCTTCTCCTCCCCCCTCTCTTCCACCTTGTAACTCAGTGAATTGTCGGATGGAGATGTAACATTCGTTGATGAGCTCTGTCAAGAGCACTATTAACTCTTATGTTCATTTTTGTAATGTTATTCCTAATGCCATCACTCCATTTTTTCCGAGGTCTTCCACGGAAGAACTAACGTTTTAGTGTGGCTCGCTGTACCAGTGGTTGTTTAGTCCATGGGATCTGAAAAACAGATATGGTTATACTGTCAAATAAACAGACAGAAATACAAGTTTATACCAACAATTAAAGGGAGGCGCCGTGGTCTAGCTATTAGACGCTCGCCTGCGGATTGAACGGTTATGGGTTCGGGTCCTGACAGGGGCCAGACTTTTTTTTTTTTTGGGGGGGGGGGGGGGTCCCAAGTGCACCTAGCCTTGAGTGGGTACCAGGTGCAGTCCTGGAAAGTAAACGTGGCCGTCGTAATGCTGACCATACCACTAACCTAGTGCCGTTCGGTCTATATAAAATAGGTCTCACCTTATATACCCACTATGCCTGAAGGCGTAAAAAAGAGTTCTTAACTTTTTTTTTAAAACTAAGTATTAAAATAGACAGACAAGAATAGGTTATACTAACAATTCCAAACGTCAAGTATTGCAACACTGCATGCAGGAAGATTGCATGGACAAAGCTGATAAAATATAGGCCATGGCTATTTAACTAAGTTTTCTCAGGGGGCAAAATGTTGAAAATAGGGATCGTCAAGTGTCAAGGTCAGAGCCTACGCGTAAGAAGATGAATAATGCTACACAAATGTTAATAGTCAGTGGGCCACTTGCTAGGCCGCTGAAATATACCAAACAACCAACCCACTAACTATCCATTCAACACCCCAGCCGTGTAGTAGGTACACGACCGACAACCCCCTGCATCAGAAGCACACATTTAGACCACAAAGCCACACCCTCTACCTCCACCCCCGCCCTCTCCTTCAACATGTACCCACCTTTCCAAAGCAGAGCACTCTGGCTCAAAGTTCTTATAACACCGGTCTATGGCTTCTATTCAAAGATGGGTAAAAGCCCCTTTCTCTTGTCCGTGAGCTGTGAATCGGGGTGAGAGTTGAAGAGGAACAGCACCATTTGTTGGCTCTGGTTGGGGCACCAGGTGCACTAAAACATTGTCAGATCCTCATAAACCGGTTGTTTAGTTAGTTCAAGGTGCACGTTTTTTGGCATTCTTTCCAGTACAGACAGAGCGCTCTATGACATATTGCTAAGATGAATACAAGAGATTTGCTTTCCGCGGCTCATATAACACTTCTGGCTTCATATTTATTGTCTATAGATGATTGTCAAGCCGTGAGCGGAGTGGTGTGTAGCTGTATGTGTGGTCGGGAGTGGTGTGTGTGTGTGTATGTTTGTGTGTGGTTGTTTACACAGTGTATGTGTGGCTGTATATGGTGTGTTAGTGTAGGTATTTGTGAGATTGGTAGTGTATGTGTAAGCGTTTATGTGAGTGTGTGTGAGAGAGTGAGAGAGAGAGAGAAAGTGTGTGTGTGTGTGCGTGTGTGTGTGTATGTGTGTGAGAGAGAGAGAGAGAGAGAAAGAGAGAGAGAGAGAGAGAGAGAGAGAGAGAGAGAGAGAGAGAGGGTGTGCATGTTTGGTTGTCTATATTGCTGTGGGTGAGACAGCGTCAGTGGCTGTGTGTATATTACAGTGTAGGTAGGTGTGTGCATGTGTGTGTGTGGTTGTTTCAATAGCTGTGTGTCAGAGAGTGCAGTTAGCTGTGTGTAGGACAGTGTAGAGTGCTGTGTGAAAGTGTGTGTGTGTGTGTGTGTATATATGTGCTATTCTAGGTAGTTTGTTGTGCGGATGTATGTGGATGGACTCTGTTGTATGTATGTATGTGCTTGTATAGGTATCTATAATCATCAGTCGTTATTCGAAGTTCTAGTACCACTGCAGACGGCCGGACCCGTAACCTATGCCAGTGAAAATCACCCAAAAAAATTCTTCCTTGCCCCATTAGAGAACTTGTTAAAAACCTTTCAATCACGGCAAAATCTTGAAGATTGGACGGGCAAAGTAAATATGCATAAGGTATCTGTCATATGTAAAGTAAAGGACCCTTTTCCACGCCTTTAGGCGTATAGGTCATACAGGGCTAGACCTATATTTCTATAGACCAATCGGCAAAAGATGGGTGATGTGGTCAGCATCACGCCGGCCGCCTTTACTTCCTGGGACTGCACCCGGTACCCACTCAAGGCTGGGTGGACCTGGGAGCCAAGGTCATTTTTGAAATAAAGTCCGGCTCCGCTAGGGAGCAAACCCGATCTGCAGCGAGCGTCTAGCCGCTCCGCCACGACCACTCCTTATCTGTCATATATGCTAACACTAAAGTTGCCACATCAGAATTCCAGCTCTTTGTTGGCTTAAATGACAAATCAAAAAAGCTGACATTACAACTGCAAAAAGTACACGCCATACTGAGTGTTGCAACAGAAGGGAAACAAAAGACATTCCATATTAAATGCAGTTTTTAGTGACGGACAAAACAGGCAACCCAGTTAGGTGATGGAACCTTCGGGCATTCGGTCCAGAAATTTGGATAAATAAAAGCTGGTTGGAAACAAAAAAATTTCCAGAGCGTCCGCGGTCAGGCATCTATTGGCCAGTGTTTCGTATGTAGCAATGTGTGGGTGGGTGTGTTTTGGGTGTGGTTATCTTCTGTGGTAATGTAGTTATCAGTGAGTGTAGCAGTCTGGGTAGCTGTGAGTGTGACAGTGTAGATAGCTGTGAAAGTGACAGTGTAAGGTAGCTGTGAGTGTGACAATGTAGGTAGCTGTGAAAGTGACAGTGTAAGGTAGCTGTGAGTGTGACAGTGTAGATAGCTGTAAAAGTGACAGTGTAAGGTAGCTGTGAGTGTGACAGTGTAGGTAGCTGTGAATGTGACAGTGTAGGTAGCTGTGAGTGTGACAGTTTGGGTAACTGTAAGTGTGACACTGTGGATAGCTGTGAGTGTGACACTGTAGGTAGCTGTGAGTGTAACAGTGTAGATAGCTGTGAGTGTAACACTGTAGGTAGCTGTGAGTGTGACACTGCAGGTAGCTGTGAGTGTGACAGTGTAGATAGCTGTGAGTGTAACAGTGTAGATAGCTGTGAGTGTGACACTGTGGGTAGCTGTGAGTGTGACAGTGTAGGTAGCTGTGAGTGTGACAGTGTAGGTAGCTGTGAGTGTGACACTGGGTAGCTCTGAGTGTGACAGTGTAGGTAGCTGTGAGTGTGACACTGGGTAGCTCTGAGTGTGACAGTGTAGGTAGCTGTGAGTGTGACACTGGGTAGCTCTGAGTGTGACAGTGTAGGTAGCTGTGAGTGTGACACTGGGTAGCTCTGAGTGTGACAGTGTAGGTAGCTGTGAGTGTAACAGTGTAGATAGCTGTGAATGTAACACTGTAGGTAGCTATTTGTATGACAGTGTAAATAGCTGCAAGTGTGACACTGTGGGTAGCTGTGAGTGTAACACTGTAGGTAGGTATTAGTGTGACAGTGTAGATAGCTGTGAGTGTGACAGTGTAGGTAGCTGTGAGTGTGACAGTGTAGATAGCTGTGAGTGTGAAAGTGTAGATAGCTGTGAGCGTGACAGTGTAGATAGCTGTGAGTGTGACAGTGTAGATAGCTGTGAGTGTGACAGTGTAGGTAGCTGTGAGTGTGACAGTGTAGGTAGCTGTGAGTGTGACAGTGTAGATAGCTGTGAGTGTGACAGTGTAGATAGCTGTGAGTGTGACAGTGTAGGTAGCTGTGAGTGTGACAGTGTAGATAGCTGTGAGTGTGACAGTGTAGGTAGCTGTGAGTGTGACAGTGTAGGTAGCTGTGAGTGTGACAGTGTAGATAGCTGTGAGTGTGACAGTGTAGGTAGGTATTAGTGTGACAGTGTAGGTAGCTGTGAGTGTGACAGTGTAGGTAGCTGTGAGTGTGACAGTGTAGGTAGCTGTGAGTGTAACACTGTAGGTAGGTATTAGTGTGACAGTGTAGGTAGCTGTGAGTGTGACAGTGTAGGTAACTGAGTGTGACAGTGTAGGTAGCTGTGAGTGTGACAGTGTAAGTGTGTAAGTAGCTGTAAGTATGACAGTGTCTACAAATCGTTTTTTTTTTCTCGTTTTGATGAATGCTAGAAAAGTATATTTTAAATGTGTAAGAGGCGATCATTGCAGTGTTGCAAAATCAAATAGCAAATCATATGCAGAACCTCGTTCTTCTCGTGGTACGCCTAAAGTTTCTCTTTCTCCCGCCATTTATCCAGTCATATATTTGATCCAATTCAATATGTCGACGAGTATGTGCGTCAGCATGCCAACGCCTGTGTATGTGTGTGTCGCTGGTTTTTTGCGTGTGTTTTTGTTTAAATATCCTCTTGACAACTGAAGCCACACGCGTAGTCCCAGACACCGTACACTGATTCTACTTGCATGGATCAGTTTGTCAGTCATGCAACGACAAACCTTTTGAGACACTCTTGTGAGTCCTACCCGCACCGACTCGTGTTTATAATACCATGCCGATAGACTTGCAACACCCATGCTCGTGCTCATTATGTGAATTGGTGCAATGCCAAAGCCCTGTGCGAGTGCACGCGTGCGACGGGAGTTGTTTCAGTGCTTCATTGCTGAAACCACTTGGAAATCTCTGCACGGTTTGTTCTGAAGGATAACAAGTGGCTTGCAATGTTCACATGTCTCGCCAAGGTTCGTATTTCCTGACATGAGAATGGCGCTTTAGCGACCTTCATTGCTCCGGGATTCTAAAGTATCTCACATTTCATCTGCAATGTCGTGCCCTTTGCGCACAAATGATCTATTTTCCTATATGTGAAAAAAAAATATTGTGTAATCCCTGAAATGTTCATAAAGCCATTCTCTCAGCCCGTGTTAAGTTGATTGATAACCAGTGAAGCTGGAAGACGCAACTGGAGCTCTGTGTAAATATTCCAAGAACAAATGGACCATCGCAAGCTCTTCATTGCTCGTCTACCGTGTGGTTCTTTAACTGCTGTTCGGAGCCGGCAGTACTTTGTACTTATTCTCCTGAAGCTGAGCAATTCATGAAGTCTGAATGGCATTTGTTTTGACGCTAACGAGACGACTAATGATTCAGATATCTTCGCAGAAGAAAAAGAAGTAACAAACAAGTTTGCAAGTGCATGTTACCGACACACGCTTGTATTTTGATTCATACAGTTCCAGGCAGGCTTTCATGCATATTTTGGCTTCACTTGACACGATATATTTCCATGACCTTTCTAGAACCTATCTATTACTCCTTAGTATCTGTCGTTCAACCCCACCAGGACTTTACAACGAGCGACCAACACCCGGTGACACAAAGTGCCACCATTCACACGAGGATCACCAGAGCACATGTCCCAGAAACGCCGTTCAACCGTTAGATTTCATTAGAGACCCTAACTACAGCCAAGGTGGGGTTTTAAAATAACAAAAAAATTGCCTTACATATTGGGACGGGAAGCGAATGAATATTACTCATGTTAGTACCCTTGGTAGTTAACCTAAATCTTTATGTTGCGAAACATTACAGTTCAATGCAGAAATGTTCCGGTCTGAAGAAGTTAAAAATACATTAAGTCGGTAGGATAGAAGGAACTGAACTAACAATTCAAATCCAGTGGAGTTGAGGTGAGTCAAGAATTGGCATATCAGCACTCAGGGCACCCCCATGCGTGCTCCGTCCTCATTTTCAGCAACCAGCGCACAGTTCCAATATTGATGGTACCGGTCACAATCTGGTTATATGTGCATTTTGCTTTCCTCTGAGTGTAGTGATCGGGCCAGACCCTCTGGTTACACCCAGGTGCCTCATTCTCTCCAGACCATAATATTCTTTCTCTGCTGATTCCGTTACTTGTTCTCAAAAAACCTTGACCACATTTGCTTTGTCATGTATCAATTCACCACCTAGTGGTGCAGATCTAGCCAATCTGTCTACCTGTTCATTACCCACCACGCCGGCATTTCCTCGAGAAAAGATCCAAAGTTTGCTCACTACTCGTGACTTACCCAGTGAAGCTTGCCACTCTGCTCAAAGCATTCATGTCTTCACTTTTCTCAGCATGCTTTCAGAGTCTGTTACAATTACGACATGTATATGCATCTTGTTCTCTAACCACCGTAGAGCTGCCGTTACCGCCTCCACCTTTATTCTTTTCCTAGATGTTGTGGTGTCGTAAGCTAAGCTGTCTTGCACTAAAGATTTTCCATTGGCTTTCCCTACAAACCCCCATGCACTTCTCTTTCTTTTCAATACCGAACCATCTGTTTAGATAACCAGATAACCTGGGCGTGAATTGTCGTGAATCAACTGTTGGACTACCAACTCCATAACACCCGCTGGTCACTCTCTGCTCTCCCGGTCCAATGTGATCATAACCCTTCACAGGTCAGACTTTTTCTCTGGTACTCTGACCCACTCCTTTCCTTGCCCAGTGTTCTCCAGCATGCATCTTGTCTGATTGTGTCTTCTGCTTTAGCCATCCACGATTGTCCCCTTTTCCACCTCTGTCCCTTACTTCCAACCAAAGCTTTATACAGAGGGTGTTTTTGTCACAATACAAAACACCTTTGGTAAAGTGTTGGAGACGATAGTGACGGGTAAGCTACAAGCATTTTTGGAATAGAGAAATCTCCTTCCGCGAGGATTGGGAAGTTACCGGTCAAATGCAGCCACTTTTGCCTTTGACACTTTCGAAGGTTTCCAGAATAGACATGAAACGGTGGCAGTGGCACTTGATTTAGAAGACTCTTACACCAGAGTCAGATGCAGTGTCTTGACGAAAGCGCTGATAGAGAAGGGATTCTATCCTTGGTTGGTGAACTTGAGAAGAGCTGTTTTATATACTCGTTGGGTAGCTCTCTGGCTTGGTTCATGGAACTTTGAACCAAGCATTAAATATAGCTCCAGGACTACAACAGGGATTTGTAATTGCACCTGTACAGTTCCACTGCAGTACCAGAAAGAGACAGTCAATATTTTTGGTTATGTTATGAGAAGAGGACAACTAGAACATGCTGTGACCATTAGAAGTATCTATGGAAAGAGAGACAGAGGAAGACAGCCTGAGAAGATTCTTGACCGATTGTGGTTATTGTCCGGAGGGGTATCAACACACGTCTGATACACACAGTTGCGGGTTGCAAATTGTGGAGAGGCGTGATCGCCCACGCCAGACGGCAAGGCACCTAATGGCGGTAATCTGTACTAACAGAGATTCAGAAATGTGCGCTATTTTAAAATAACTAATGAAAGAATGGGTAGTATCTTATGGGTAGTATCATGGTATGACAGAGTTAACCCTCTTTAACCTAGGGCTTAAATTTGGGGTAACGCTTAAATTACCAGTAGGTGTTTGTGGCTTAGTTGTTGCGAACGCGCTTCAAAATGCCAGGGTACCGGATTGGACCCAGCTGCAGATCGCCTTGCGTTGATTCTCACAGTGCCATTGAACGTCTAGAAAGCAATGGCAAACTAAAGAACGTAAATTTGTCTAGAAAAACCTCAAAAGCAACAACAACAAAAATGCTGGGGTTGGATCAGCGATGTCCTGTAAAGGATAGGCAGCTAACTTTGTTTGTTTGTTTTAGTATCCAGAAGCCATGATTTGTTAACCCTTTGGCTCGGTATTATGGATATCGCAACCTTTCGGCCTTGATTCCATTGTAAATACCGTAAATCTTGGAGAAATGTGGCTTTTCTGCCTACCACCGGGAGTGAACCCGGACCACAAGGAGTCCGTCACCCGGTCACCGCGCAATCAGGCTTAGCCAACTACGCTAGAGAGCCGGGCCCAACTAACTTTAAATTAGCAGCATCCTTAAACAAAATTATGCCAGCGCCAATTATCAGTTGAGTTATCATTTACCGAAAAGCCCGGTATCGCAGTGAGGCTGGTGTAGAAACAATATAATTTACACAGAGGTCCCCTGGCAATAACCTAACAAAATCATGATTTAACAGCAATCGTGTAGATTGGCTGAGATTTGACCTCGATGTAGAGGTGCGGGTGGCTGAGATTTGACCTTGATATAGAGGTGTGTGGCTGAGATTTGACCTCGATGTAGAGGTGCGTGTGGCTGAGATTTGACCTCAATGTAGAGGTGTATGGCTGAGATTTGACCTTGATGTAGAGGTGTGTGGCTGAGATTTGACCTCGATGTAGAAGTGCGTGTGACTGAGATTTGACCTTGATGTAGAGGAGTGTGGCTGAGATTTGACCTCGATGTAGAGGTGCGGGTGGCTGAGATTTGACCTTGATGTAGAGGTGTGTGACAGAGATTTGACCTCGATGTAAAGGTGCGTGTGGCTGAGATTTGACCTCGATGTAGAGGTGCGTGTGGCTGGGATTTGACCTTGATGTAGAGGTGCGTGTGGCTGAGATTTGACCTCGATGTAGAGGTGCGTGTGGCTGAAATTTGACGTCAACGTAGAGGGGCGTAAACCTACAGTCTTAGCACCACTGAAACTTCATCTTCCTCGAAAATATGTCAGGAAGCTAGGTCCTTCACTGTCCCTAACCCACAATATACCGAATCAGAGCTCCCTTTTTCAGTCAATCAGTCAGTCAGTCGTCAGTCAGTGAGGTGCCGTCTCTACAATGAAGGTTGGCTGCCATGAATCTCCAAAACGCGGGATCTCTTATTTTAGTTTTACACTCTCTCAGACTAATGTTGACTAATGTCAGACATATCTTGATGTTGTCCTCCCACTTGTGCTGTTGTCCACTTCTTGTTCCTTGTCCTCGACATTTCCTTCCAGTATGGTTTAAAAAAAAAATTTTATGTCTTTAATTGTGGCCAAAACAGCCCTATTGTCTCTTTTCTCAGTAACTTTTTTCCCCTAAGTATCCACAGAACTTCTCTTTTTTATTGTTTGTTTATATAAGTTTAGTTGCGTATCCTTTACAAGACGTTACAGAACCAACCCCAACAGCCCCTGGTTGTGTGGTTTTTCTAGGCAAATTCACGTCCAGTAGTTTTCAATTGCTTACTGTACGGTCGGGTTTCTTGATACCACTGTCGAAACCAAAGCAAGGCGCACGGCCCGCAGCTGGGATCGAACCCGGCATCCCGGCATTATGAAGCGTTTTTTATTTTCAAACGAATTATACAGATAACCTCGTTTAGCCTCAAAGGAGAAATATATATATATATATATATATATATATATATATATATATATATATATATATATATATATATATATATATATATATAAACTGCTTTATTTTATTTATGAGTGTAACGAATTTAACTGTCAACGCCATTCTCATAATACAAGAACTTCTTCTTCTTCTTCTTCTTCTTCTTCTTCTTCTTCTTCTTCTTCTTCTTCTTCTTCTTCTTCTTTTCTTCTTCTTCTTCTTCTTCTTCTTCTTTCGTTCGCTTAAAATAGATTATCTATGTCTGCAATGTTGTCTCTAGTATAAACTCTAGACAAGAAACTTTTATTTCCACTCTGTGGATTAAAGAGCCAGGTAAAGGTTAGTTGCGTATCCTTTACAGGACGTTGCAGAACCAACCCCAGCAGCCAGGGCTGTTGTGTGGTTTCTCTAGGCAAATTTACGTCCAGTAGTTTGCCATTGAAATGGACGGTCAGCTCTCTGATACCACTGTCGAAACCAACGCAAGGCGCATGGCCCGCAGCTGGGATCGAACCCTGGCATTACGAAGCGTTAAAGAGCCAGAAATAGAAAATAAATGTTTCGCCAACAAAGAAAGATTGAAGATAGCAGCAGCTGTTTAAAAGCAAAAACAGGAAAAGAAACAAAGCTTTACATTCTGTGACTTGCTGTAATCAACTTCAGCAAACTCTGGGTATTTGTCACGTTTCTTCACCGTCACCTCCATCTGTCACGTGATCTCGCCAAATCCAGGACACGCGCTCACTTGCCGCCATCTTGTCGGGTTTTATTCCCATAGAGCGTCTCACCAGTCTAAGGCGGAAGTGTAAGGACCCGTATGTATGTGATTGTTTGCTCTGAGTTTCGGCACAACAAACCCCAGGCTAACTCGATTTACTCAGAACTGTGTAACACGAAGGTGACGACCGATCGGTCAGAGCATCGATTGAATGCGACTCCTTGTCCCCTCTGTGATTTCTAAACAGTTTATAAATTCCCTTCTATCTAATTGCCTGCTCGCCAACGGTGCCATGTCAGAATGAAACTGTAATTGATGGCCGAATGGAGCAGCGAAAGCTCAATAAACTGTCGCCTCTAACTTGGTTAGGTGATGTTAATATTTCATACTGCTGGAGTTTTTTCTTCTTTAATTTCCCTACACAAACCTCAGAGGACAGTATTAAAGCTGTTTGTTTCAGGGGGACAAAAAAAAATTATAATAAGACATGCGGACGAGCTTCTTGTACGTTCTAATGGGAATGACGGATGAGTTGCTAGGAAGTGCTACAGCTTTGGTGTCATGGTGGGTATTTTGGTTGCGTACGTCGGCAGTCAAAAGTCAGGCACGCGAATTCAATGTCTGTTTTTTGGACTTTGTGGAGTTAGTGAGTTCTTTGTTTCTGTGTTGGAATATAAATAAGACTACTCATTTGTTATAAATGCTGCTTTCATCAATGATGATGAACTGCCTTTCTAATGCCGGTATGATTTTTTTGGACTTGTAGATTTAAGAGCGTGTATTCTGTTGGCTTTGTCGAGACTATAGTCTGTGTCAGTTACTTCACAAGGAAGACATTGATAGGCATTCTGTGTGGTTTTAACTGGCACAGGAACGTAACAACTATGGAGTGTCCCATTTTCTGTGTGAAGTTGGAATTGCGACTAGTTGATAAAACTGATATGGATAAATTGATGAGATATTCGAGTAGCATCTTGCTGAACTGAAATCTTGAAAACATATTGTAATGTTTGCTCTTTGCCATCAACTTCCACGCGGACGATTGCTGCCTCAGCCTTGACACCAATATCCGTCTTTTAGGACAGTTTAGAACCCTGCTTATCTTCTTGGAGGCAAAATTGTTTTCTTATACCGCTAGATACCAAAACCCCAGAAGTCTGTTTGCTTTATAACTGTTTGTTGCCGATGCCCAGCACCTACAGAAATAAGAAAGAATAAGAAAGTAAAATGTAAGTTTGCAGCCAGTGTGAGTTTCCGCCTATTGCAAATTTCCGTTTAGTGCAAGTTATGGCAAACTCCCTGCCGGTGGAAGTTCCAGGATAATTCATATTCCCGGCCAGTGCCGAATATCGGTCTAGGTCGTGCACCAAAGAAAGACAAAGAGAAGAAACCGTAAAGTGAGAAGAAACCGTCAAGTACTACAGAAAGGTTTGCAGCCAATAGAAAACTTTGTGAAGATTTTGAAACACAATAACACACGATAGGATGCAGCTTCTCTCTTTGTGAAGACTCTAGCCTTGCCAGATAAGGAAGGTCCTTATTCTGCCATTCATTTATTTCACCCGAGGTGAACTATTATCGTTACTATTAAACTATTTCTGATTCGAGTAATTATCAGTTTAAGCGACACCTGTTCCTATCTGACTACATTCGGCCATTACAAATGTTACTGTCTCTTCCCAACCTACACACCTTAGCTTCAAGAGCAGGACGGGACGATTACTTGTCACAAAATTTTATACATCGAGTGTGAAGTGAATTCAATAATTTCACATCTTGACTCCTGGCTGAAGTCTCTATAGAACACTCATGTCTGTGTTCTAGCAAAGATTAACATGAACATCACATTCACTTAGATTTAATCCCCAAGGCCTCAATGAGAGAGACGTGGCCACCCGGATATTGTATTAAATTAATCCCTCATGATTGAAAAGTATGCCAGGCATTTCCGACGCTTCAATTATTAGTTGTTAGAGATTATGGCAGTGTTGAACGTTTGCAGGTATAGTTTGTCACAACTATCTCAGGATACAGATGGCTATTTACTGTGAACCCAAACTGTTGTAGTAAACTGGTTTTACTATTCGTAAGTATTGTCGTTTATTACTGCACACGGTGTCTCGAATCTACAGCTAAACTGTTGTCGGATGTTTTTTTTTTTTTAAATTGTAATTCTCAGTTTTCTCTACTTCCTGTTCATCATTTTTCCTTCTTCATTATCCACGTCTTCTTCTTCTTTCTTCTTCTTCTTCTTCTTCTTCTTCTTCTTCTTCTTCTTCTTCTTCTTCTTCTTCTTCTTCTTCTTCTTCTTCTTTTTCATCTTCTTCTTCTTCTTCTTCTTCTTCTTCTTCTTCTTCTTCTTCTTCTTCTTCTTCTTCTTCTTCTTCTTCTTCTTCTTCTTCTTCTTCTTCTTCTTCTTCTTCTTCTTCTTATTATTATTATTATTATTATTATTATTATTATTATTATTATTCCCATTTAAATGGGGAAGGGTAACCTTCAAGGGTATCATCCAATTAAATTGGAGGTATGAGACCTTCAAGGGTGTCTTCAATTAAAATGCGGAAGGGGACCTTCGAGTGTATCTTTCCATTAAAATATGGGAAGGGGACCTTCATTTTTATTTCTCCATTAAAATGGGGAGGGGGAGCCTTTAAGGGTATCTTACAAATTAAAATGGGGTCGGGGAACCTTCAAGGGTATCTTCCCATTTAAAAAGGGGAGGGAGTCCTTTAAAGGTATCTTTGATCAAAATAAAGGACAGGGACCTTAAATGGTATATTCCCATTAAAATGGGGAAAGGAGACCTTCAATAGTATCTTACCATTAAAATGGGGAAGGGGGAACCTTCAAGAGTATCTTCCATTAAAATGGGAGAGAGGGACCTCAAAGGGTATCTTCCATTAAAATTGGAGAGAGGGACCTTAAAGGGTATCTTCCATCAAAATGGGAGAGAGGGACCCTAAAGGGTATTTTCCAATAAAATGGGAGAGAGGGACCTTAAAGGGTATCTTCCATTAAAATGGGCTACAAGTGTGGGGAGGGGGTGGACCTTAAGGTACCTGAACCACAAGGTTCCATCTCCCACTTTTCCTATCAAACAGAAATGAAGAGCAAATTGATTGCCACAATGTATGTCAACAAATATAACTGGCGAGACTTCCAAGTTTGACTTCGTCCCCCAACATCGCACTCACACATATTCGTAGTTTTTGCGTTCCTTCTGTCCATCACAAAAGCATCGATTTCCGTTATCTCTCGGAAGTAATAATTTAGTTACACTTTTTTAAGATTCTCTTTAAAATTTTGGAAATAAAAAAATTCGAGGAGAACGCTTTAAAAATTAAAGTGCCAGAGAAAGAGAGAGAGAGAGAGAGAGAGAGAGAAAGGGGGGGGGGGTGGAGGCAGAAAGAGAGAGAAAAGCTTCACTCAAAGCACTAAAACAGGAACATT